GAGTAAAACCTACCCCATCAGGTTTATACAAAGTCTAGAGTTTGGGACCTCCTGTGAATGGTCAGCAGTTAGCATCGCTGGCATTTGTGTCTGTTCAAGCAATTACAGATCTGTGATATTTTTTGAAAACTCTCAGGATGAGTGTTTCTTCTCCGCTAAGTTGTTTCATGTTGCTCTGTGAGGGTATCTGTACTCACAGCCAGAGCAAGCAGATGTACTTGTTTCCTTAGAATTGCCCTCAAAATTAGAGGGTTGTATGGAAAGAGCTTTGTTTTAAGAAAAATTCCTCTCAAATCTGATGGAGAAGGTGATGCCAGCTGCTTCGCTGCCTGCCTTCTGGTTTGTTTGAATCTCTTTTCCTTCTTCTTTTTTTTTTCTAGCTCAGCAAACGAAGAAACCAGACGGCACGCACCCGCCACGCTCCTTGAGGAGTGCTGGTGTGCCGGCCCCGGCGCCGCGCCCGCGGTGAAGGCGTCGTGTCGCCCAGGCCGAGCAGAGCCGGCACGCTGCCTGCCACGCAGCTGCCAACAGCGGGGCTCGCCGCGCACGGGCCACGCCTGCCGATGCACAGCTTGCCTTTCACCTTTCTGCTCCGCGCTCGAAACAGCGAGAAGCACCGGCTGGTGACGAGAAGAAGGTTGAGACAGCACCCGCGAGCTGGTGGCTGTTTCAACCGCCACTGTGTAGCTTTATCCACTCTCCAACGCTCATCTCATAGCTGCGTCATCTTTCGTTACGATTTTACTGTTCCGTGTTAGGCCTGGAAACTAACTGGGTTAAGATTACCGGTTAGGTTCATGAACAAGCATGAAGGAAGTGAGGACAGGTGCATCACCGCTGTTGTGGCAGTACTTTCTTGCTCATTGTGCACCCTGTGCACGCCCTGCGGGCCAAGCCTGGAGAGTGCAGTTTCCACAGAGCAGCCGATGTGCTGTGAATTCACACCATCGCTCAGCTCGTCGGACCATGCCCTGCAGCTGCTTCCTGCTCTCAGATCAGGTCAAATGACATACCCACCATCACCCGTGCAGATATCACCAATTTCCCGTGCCTCTCAATGGAATAAAGCCTTGCGTTACTTCTAGAGACAATGGAAAGAAAGGGAAATGTAGTTGAAAGTTTAAGGGGGAAGGTTTTTTCCCCATATCTTATAGTCTGCACTATTCCAAGTAACCTTGTGTCTTTCTGTTCTCTTTCCAGGTACCTGTGATTCTCATGAACTGATGAAACTGCTGCGAGTAGCTGGAGGAACTAGGGCATTTTGATTGCCTCATGCTGTAGCAGGCCTAATTCTTAGTTACACTGTCTTGTGTTAGCTTTGCCAAACTCAACAGTCATGTCAATGATAGATCTCTCTCAAAATTGGAAATTGTTTCTTTTGTGTTTTATTTTTCAAGAAAATGAGTGAACCCATAAGAATCCCCTGCATTTCCCTCTGTGGGATATAACTTCAGTCATTTCACCACTCTTAAAAGTAAACTAACTCCCTACTGAGTTATTCATGACCCCTTCCCCGCCAGGATGATGTATATCTGATCACTTCCTGAGTCTGCTGTGAGGAATAAATCAAGCGTCTCCCTTCATGCTGAGTGCTGGCACATCACAGAATTTCCCTGGGACTCTACAAGGCAGAAAAAAATCAACTCAAGCCAGAATCTGTCCCACATCCCAGATGAGCTACCCAGCTTTTCATCTCTCAAACCAACTCTCCTCATTGTGCCTCTGGGCCTTAATTCTCTTCTTTATTCTGCCTCCTAAAACTCATTCCTTCCATCCTGTCCATGCATAATAAATCATGATCAGCCAGAATATGGCATGCTGTGCTACATCGCTGTCTGATTGTATCTCTCTGTCCCTGGGACTTTCTCACTCTTCACTTCTTACTGCTCTGCTATACTGGGTCATGTCCACAGTAAATTTACAGGTTGTAAATAGTTGGGGCTAGCACCCAGCTTCTCTGTGAATCACCTGGTGTGCTCTGGGGTGGAGTAAAACACTTAGGAGCAAAAGGAACAGTTTTCCTAGCCACTGAGCAGGGCTGAAAGGAGTAAAATGTTTGTTCTCAGCTGTAAAGGTGTCTTGTGGAGGGGTCACCACCAGAGCACTGCAGCAGACAGTCCAGTGCTGCATCGGGATTGAACCCTCCAGGGTATCAATCCGCCTGCTACTAGTTTTGCTTTTATAGGATTCCTTCTGTGCACAGTGGCTTACAAAATACATGAAGTTTGAAGGACATCAGCACTGAGAGAGTGTAAGCCAGGTGAATCCCCTCTCTGTGAATGCACAGGCACCTTGTAGGTGCTGAGTGAAGGAAGAGAGTTTTGCAATGTCCTGCTCAAAGCAGGGACTCCTGAAGGATCATCTTGAGTGACAGTCACACTCAAGAAGCAAGAAAAGTGGTGTTAACGAAGGTGGAAATCAGCTGGTAGAGAAAGGGAATAAAAAAGGTCAGAAAGAGGGAAAAGAGAGATGGAAAGAGATGAAAAAAGAGGGCCATGACCAAGCCTTGAGTCTGAAAGGCAAAGTTCACGCTGGAGAGTGACACTGGTCAAAATGCTGCTGATGGGTTTGGGGAGGCAGCTCCGACAGACAGGAATCTGCCAGCCTGGCCCTGCCCGAGGAGGTATGAAATGAAACTTGACAGCCTTCAGGGCTTCAGGGGCAGAACTTCCCCCCCCAAAAAAAAAAAAAAAAATTCCAAGCTTTTTTGAATGTTTTCATGAATATACAATGATGTTAACCTGTTCAGGGCTGGGAAATCAAAGTCTGAGCTTTTTCTGAGCAATGCGCTCAAGTAGAAAGTTAGCAAGGGGAAAACCCAGGCTCAAATTCCTTCTGCATTTATTTTGAGCCAAAGCGGGATGCATAGGTCCAGCGTGGCTGCCAGATCTTTACCCCGAGGTGTCCCTATGCACCCACGAACCAGGTATCTCCACTTAGCTCCTTACCTTTGCTTCAGAGGAGATGGAGACTCTCTGTGTCTGCTCACACAGAGTGAGGACCTGCTGTGGCACCTCCACGTGGCTGCAGGGCATGTCCCAAAACTGGCAGGATCCTCTGCAGCGTCAGGAAAGGTCAGTCCTGCCAGGGATCCCTGCAATCCCATGAGACATATCCAGAGATAAGCAGATGCTCTGCATGGAGAACAGGCTCCTTACATTAAATTATGTGTCTGGTGCCTTCCTGTCCCTTGTGGGCTCTTCTTAGACTCTCCAGAGGAGCCCAGCATGTCTGAGGTTCCACCAAGGTTTATTTTTACATCACTTGTTCCACTTGAGTCAAAACTGCTTCGCAGCAACATCTTAGCCCCTAGTTTTTCAAAAATTAATCTGAATTACTGCCACAGGACTAGACCAGTGGGGCTGGTGACCTGCCCCCACGGATGTTCGCAGCCTAAAGCAGTCAGCCAGACTGGGCTAGCTCAGAAAACTGCCTCTTCGACCTACCACGTCGGAACTAAGGAAAGTTAGTCTGCCTGTGCAGAGCAGACTCCTCTCTGCTCCAAAGCACAGCGGACAGGGGCAAAACCACCGGGGAATAAATCCAACTGTGTTACCTCTTTGGCTTGGAAAAGCAGGCAAGTTTGGGCAAAATCTTTTACGGGATCTACTGAAACAACTGGAAAACCCGACAAAACCTCTGGCTCAAGGTCCTGCCCCCAGGCTGCACCCAAAGTCTACAGCAGCCACAGCAATACTGCTGCTACGGTGAAAACAGCCCTCCTTGGCTTGCGGTGATAAACAAATCACACTAAAAGCAGGGAGGAACTTCATAGTTTTGCAAACTTTCGAAATCTATGTGCCGGTTCTGCAGAGGGCAGCAGCTTGTTGCAGCTACAGAGGCTGTGCAGGCATCTGAATTCAGCTAAAACCTGCATGTGGGTATAGAAACCCCTTTCGCTATGGCTATACCATCATCCTGGGGCTAACCCCTGCTGTGCCACACTGTCCCAGTGCATGTTTGAGACTGAAGAGTGGATAATGTGAATTTTCTGTGGTTCCTTTTTCCCTTACGAGCCCCCAAAACAGGTTAGAGGGGCTTTGGATTAAAGGGTATTCACATGGAAATTAATTCTCCTGAAACATGTAAGGTGTTAGCAAGTAAGAAAGGTGCTTTAACCAAAATAACCATGTGTTTTCTGTGAGGTTTTGTTATGGGTAAAATGAAAGGAGCAGCGGGGCATAGAGGGCACCAGGCACCAGCCCTTTCCCAGGCGGGTGGGAGGGCTGGGAGCAGAGTTCAGCCTCCCGTCCCAAGGGTGAAGGGGGTGTTTTCATGGTGCTTGGAAGGGGAAAAAGGATTTCTGTGTTTTCAGACAGTGATTTATTTATTCACATTTTCATGAGCTCGGTTATAATGTGTGCTCCTTAAAGAGAAGTGTCTTTAGCAAATCCATATGTTAAAGTTTCACTTTTCTTTAAAAGTATACTGTGGCAATATGCCGTTTCTTTGTGCTTCTCAGCCTGGTGTTTGTGAAAAGTGAGTTTTTAAACTCATTTCTTGAGCTAGCCCAGCAGTTGCCTGTTGGGTTAAAGGCCAGTTCTTTAATCTTTTTATTTCAGCCTGGATTGCAAAGGGCTTTTTGTCTGCGTAACCACCACCCCCGCCATTCTCAGAGAGAGCAGCACCTCCAAGATGAGATCAGATATATGGGCTGGAAATTAGGTGTCAATCTAGGTTTTTTTAATTGCCAGTGTTTTTAAAATGTTTGAGACCCCCTATATATATTTTAAGGCTCCTTCTAGATTCAGAGGCAGGGGGGGAGTGGCAGAATGAAAGAGAGGAGCAGGTTTGTGCGCTAGCTCAGACCCCAAGGCAGAAATCTTTGTGTTTCAGTGAATATTCTGCAGACAAAAAGCAAGTGAGGGATTTTGGCCTATAAAGGGGAAAAAAAAACCCACATCTTTTCTTTTTACCAGACTTTCTCTTTACCAGTGTAGCCCACGTTACGAGGTTGGGTAGTGAGCACCTGAGCAGGCAGCAATTGAATAGACAGCCCATTCTCTAACAGATACATTTTATTGAGTACATGCACAAATAGACAAAGCAAAGTGGCAAAGCAGTGATGTCCAGGCTCCAAAAACAAGATCTCACCAGGCCGTTGGCCAGACGTCCTGGGAGTCTTGGGAACCCAGATATAGTTGCTGCAAAGGTCCACGTGGATTCGGCTCCTTTAAGTCCAAGGTGATTACAGGGTCTTCCGTTCTGCCCATCTTTTATCGTCTTTCCAAGTCTTTGAGGCTGGTAACACCTCTGCCATCTTCAGTGGGTGCTTTTCCACGCTCAGGCATTACATTCCCTTCCAAAGACACTGTCCTTGGCTTTCCTTATCCCCGTTGCCTCTGCTTAAGGAGTCTTAAATCACACAAGAGCTGCATTTTCACATTAGCATTTGGGAATGCGGGGGGTTCAAAAACAAGTTATTTATGCTAACTCTTGCTTTTTTACTGTGAGGATGATCAAACAGCGAAACAGGTTTGCCCAGAGAGGTTGTGGAGTCTCCATCTGTGGAGATAGTCAAAACCCAACTGGACACAGTCCTGGGCAATCTGCTCTAGGTGACCCTGCTTGAGCAGCAGGGAGTTGGACCATCTCAAGAGGTCCCTTCCAACCTCAACCATTCTGTGATTCCTGCCAACCACAGGCTGCTTGGCCTGCCCTCCCCTCCTGGATGGCCCTCTTGTAGCAGAGGAGGCCATCCCTCACATCAAGGTCTGGTATGACGTGTGTCCCCACCGCTCAACGCCTACTGGGTTGCAGCCAACAGCGGAGCTAAAAGTTCTTCTTGGTGGCAAACACAGAGGCCAACCCAGTCTTGCCCTTGACTATGGTAGGAGGCGTTTGGCCAGCCCCAGTCCTTTCACCTGCTTGTCAATGCAGAGTTTGACCTGCCTCATCCAGTAACAAGTCACTACCATAGCAAAGCACACACAGATTTGCATTAGCAGTATAACTACAATGGGGTGCAGCAGCGTGTTGAAGATGCCGGTGGCGGTGGGGGACCAGCCAAAGAAAATTTCCCACCAGTGGTGTTCTCCCACCCTCTTAATTCGTTCCATTACCTGTTTTATAACATTACCATCATGATGTACAGTTATTAGGATCTTTTTAGCTTCTGTCTTAGCATTTTCCAACAGCTGCTGCAAATTTGCATGCTCTAACATTTCTTTTACAAGTGACAAATCCATACCGATGGGGGTTGGGCTAATACTACGATACAAGGTATAGTTTCTAATTAGCAACTGGCTAGTTAACGCAGGTGGTTTATACACAAAATCACAGCCTCTAATAATAGCTACATTGCAAGCACACATATTTGAGTCATTAAACATGGTCTGATTATGAACTTCATTAATCTGCACGTATTTACACATCGTTCTGAAACACACGCACCCTTTCCCTACATACACTAACACAGTTTTATTACTGCTCTGGGGATTGATCTCAAAATGGCACACCCCTTCTTTGGTGTCAAAGCAAACATCACTTGCCTTAAGGGCGTCATCTTCACAAATGAATCCCAGCCCCCTTTCCAAAATACAGGCTTCCAAATCTACCGATTGCCATTTCCCATCAGACACCCTCGCCCACATGCGGTGGTCCAGGGGGTAGACCACAGACCCGTTTGTGTTAACCCCCAGGGCCACGATGGGGTAGACCTTTTCGATGCGAGCCTCCACTATGGTCAGGACGTGGGCGATGACTGCATTGAGGACCTGGTCGTGGGTGAAGTTGACGAGCCTCCACCAGGCTTGGAGCTGTCGCTCCTTCTCCGTGGCCGCATCCCACACGATCTTTCGGATCTCGGTGGGGAGGACACCATTGTCGCCGTCTCTCAGGATACCTGCAACAACACTCTGCACCCACATCTGGGCCTGGATGCAACTAAGAGCAAGGGAGACGTTATTTTGTTCAATGCCCAGTGCTCGCAACAGCACCTGGTGGTCTTTCTCATTTATTTGTTCCCAGGTGGGCAGCACCTCTGACACGAGCCACTGCCCCATCCCGAGGCCGGCCAGGGATGAATTCAAGGGGTTGAGGAGGCCCTGCACACCTGAGGTGACGGCCTCCAATTTGTTGGCCAAGACCTCAACGTTCATACTGTTAAGAACACCCAGTCCGGCACCTCCTCCTCCCAGTGCCGTGGCCAGCAGGTCTCTTCTGGCCCGGGTCCCCTGGATGGAGCGGCTGTGGAGCCATGCCAGCCAGCCGGTGTGGAGGGTGGATAGGAAGGGGGTACAGTGCGGTCTGACGGATGAAATATTAACGGTGGACAGAGACAACACCACCTTCTTCAGTGACCGGAGAGGCCCAGTCAACAGCTCTTGGATGTGATTTTTCTTGACTACATACGGGCCTATTTTGGAAACAAAAGGACGCAAGACAGCAATGATGGTAAACTCTTTTTTAAATCCTTCAGGGCCTCCTATCCACCACTTTCCTCCAAGCTCAAAGGACATTTCTACACTCAGGTTTCCTCGACACCACACCTGAAGGTTTATGACCAGATGTGGGCAATGTCCATAATCCTGATTATACCATGAAGCGTCCATGCCAAATTCAGATCTATTAAGTGTTTTGCTCTCGCGGAGGCAGTTTACTGGCACAATCCACTTGCGGCCATTGGGAGCAGTGACAGTCACAGCAGTGCCATCAATTTGCCTCGGATCAGTTATACTTTCCTGGGAGTATTTAATTTCCAATTTTACCTGGTTGCCAACTTCAGCATATTGGGATGCATGCCAGGCCAAAAAATGGCACTTTGAGATCTTAATGGCAGCAAAGGAGAGTGTCGTGGTGCTAATCTTGAATTTAAAGGACAACCCCACACTGTTGTGGGCCCAGAGGCAGACCACAAACACTGGCTGGACCAAAGTGAAATTGCACCAACAGTCCGATTTTTCTACAGCACAGTTTTTTTTCTGATTCTTCTTAGTTTTTATTTCGGTTATGGAGATTTGAGTTACCTGCTGGTGAGTGGATCCATTAATTACCCTGCACCCTACCTTTATTTCTTGTCCCACCTTCCCCAGAAGCTGTGGGAGTCTATTTGTGCTATCCCAGGTCCACTCATTTTCCAAGAACACCTCTGTCCCGTGCATAACCACCGTTGACAAATTTAAGCCTTTGTTAGAATTTAAACCCATGCTTCCTGTATATTTTATGTGAGCTTGAGACCAGGGCCAATCAGTCCCAATTTTTGTGTACCTCCTAACCCTGTGCTGGGCTGTGGCCCATGTATTGAGGTGCCTTTCTAAGTGGGAATGACTGATTTTTTGTCTGAGATGCTGATGGGTTGGTTGGATATGTTGGGAGCTCAGCACTATGCACATACCAGAAAGCAAAGCAAATCCTGCAACCAGAAATTTGAAAGCATTTTCCCCGTAGCACAAACAGGGCTGGTGGTGCCATGAAGTTCGCCCTTCCCGCTGGTCACAATCGCCTTCCATTTTCCTTTATCTGCAAAACATAAGCAAGGCGGGCTCTCCAGCCCCATTAATTTCCCTTCCATGCTTTTAATTGTGAAGAATGGAGCCATTTTTCCTGCCTTTTTGTCCCCTTTCTGATTTCTACCTGGTACATGCAGGGGCTGGCCTTGTTCACAACCCTAACAGGCCCCATCCATTGGGGTCCCAGCACCTGGTTCTTCTCTCTAACCCCCCGATACATTACCAGGTCCCCTGTGTTCCACTCCATGGGGCGCAGCAGCACTCCCATCTGCTTATCCATCTTGGGGATGTTGGTGTCCTGCACCAAGGCTAGCTGGTGGTATGTAGCCGACACCGTTCTCAGCATGTCCTGGACCCACTTATCTGTCAGCACACGAGGCTGCAGTTCGTCTGGTGGCTCCCCTCTTTGCCACCAGTGTCCCGACAGCTTTGGGTCTCTTGCAGAAGGCAGCTTTTGGGGAGAAGGTACGTGAGATGCCATGGCCCCCCGCAACGCCAGCAGGACCAGTGGTAGCTTCTGATCCCAGTCTTTCCTCTGCTGGTTCATGAGCTTTCTCAGTGCTGTCTTCAGTGGTTGGTCAGGCCCCTCCGCTGAGCCTGGCTTCTGAAAATGCCCCGTGATATGAAGCTTTTGCTTGATACCCAGGGCTTGGCACACCCCTTTTGTGACTTCTCCAATGAAGCGTTGGCCATGGTCTGAGTTGATCTCCTTTGGGACGCCCCACCGTGAGAAGACATGCTCCACCAGGATCTTTGCGGTTGCACTGGCCGTGTTGTTTCGAGCCGGAAACGCTTCCACCCACTTGGTGAAGTTGTCACTGATCACCAGGCAGTACCTGTTCCCTTGGGCTGTTTGGGGCAAAGGGCCAATAAACTCCATCTGCAACTTGCTCCATGGCCCAGAAATCCTCTGGTGACCCAGGAGGGATTTTGTCATTTTGGTGTCAGGATTGTTGGCCGCGCACGTCAGGCAGTTGCTGACATACCTCTCCACATCCTCTCTCATTTCAGGCCACCACCCAGCAACCTGAAGCCTCACCATGGTCTTGTCTGTCCCCAAATGCCCCTGCTCATGAGCCAGGGCCACCAGCTCCGTCCGGACAAGTTCAGGCACCACCCAGACCGGGAAGTCCGCCCCCTCCTTCCTCGCCAGGACCAGCCCCGAGATGTCCTTCCACACCTTGCACCCTTTGTACTCCCTGCTCTGCACTAACACCCGGATGCTGGGGTCTTGTGCCTGCAAGCCCAACAGGTCCACGCTGTCCCAGTGTCTGTTGGGAGTCACCAACATAGAGCTGTTCTCTGAGGACTTGTTAGCCTTCCACATCAGTCCTTCCTTTGCGCCTTGCTTGGCTTTGGCGTCCGCCTCCTTGTTCCACTTGGCTTCCTCAGTTCCCTTCTTGTGGGCCTTCACCTTAATGATCTGGGCCGGGTGCATCCTCTTCTCCGCCAGCCTCGTGAGGTACAGCAGCTTTTTGGCATAGGTGACAGGCTTGCCATCAGCAGACTGCATGTCCCTCTCCCTCCAGAGCGGCAACCACTCCAGCAATGCCCGCACTACCCAACCTGAATCTGAAAATATGGCCAGCGGCTGGTCTACCGGCGTGTGTTCCATGGCGGCCATCACAGCCACCAGCTCAGCAGCCTGGATGGAGTGTGGCAGGCACCTCCCCTTCACCACCTCCCCGGTGCCCCGGTTGATGGCAGCATAGCCCGTGTAGGGCACCCCTTCCTCGTGGTAGTTGGACCCATCTACAAACCACACAACATAGCGTCTCTCCTTGGCCTCCTCCAGGCTGAGGCTGCTCTCAAACAGGGGCACCCGCTGCATCTTGGGCTCAGCTGGGGGACCCCCTGGGTCCTCCTCATCCCTCTCTTCACTGATTACCACCCCGTAGGTGCCAGACGAGGGCTCTCCTGTCTCCCAGGGGACCTCCTTGTCAGTCAACGCCAACACCCAGTTGGCCATCCTGGGGCAGCACAGGGGGTCCTCGTCCCCATTCCCTGACAAGAGGTACCTCACCGGGGTGCGGGACGTCCTCAGCAGCACAGGGGCCGACCCCACCAGGTACTCCCAGTGCTGCAGGGCCCAGGTCAAGGCTAAAACCTCCCTCTCATAGTCGGTGAACTGCTGCTCAGCCAGCGTCAGAAGGCGTGAGGCATGGGCAACAGGGAGGAGACGGGCACCGTGCTGCTGGCCCAGGGTGGCCCGCAGACCCCTCCTCTCACTGGCCAGATGCAGGATGTAGGGTCTGTCCTCCCGGGGATGTGCCAGAACAGGGGCTCGTGCCACACTCTCCTTTAAGGTCTTCACTGCCTCATCCTGCTCTGGCCCCCATTCCCAAGGGGTGTTCTTCTTCAGGAGGTGGCAGAGGGGGGCAGCTTTCTCTGCATAGCCCTCGATGAACTCCCGGGAGAACTTCAGGAGAGCCAGGAAGGACCTTAGGGTGGTGGCATCGGCTGGCGCCGACACTTTCTGTATTAGCTCAACCCTCTGCTTCTCCAGCGAGCGCCCTTCTTCCCCCAGGGTCACCCCTAGGTAGGAGACCTCTTTCCAGCACAGCTGGGCCTTCATGGGGCTGACCCTGAAGCCTGTCTTCTGGATGGCCTCCAGCACCTCTGCCAAAACCTCCAAGTTCTCCTCCTTTGTCTGGGTGTGGATGAGAACATCACCAGCACAGGACAACACGCTCTCCTGGTGGCTGAGATTCTCCCACATCCTCATCACGTGCATGTGGCAGATGGCCGGGGCATTGTGGAAGCCTGGGGGGACTCTAGTGAAGGCAAATTGCCGTCCTCGAAGGGTGAAGGCAAACTTGTGCCAGGACTCAGGGTGTAAGGGGATGGCAAAGGACGGGCAGGTCAAGCTGAGCACTGAGAACCACTTGGATCCCCGGGAAATGGCCACCATAATATCTGGGTACTTTGCCACCGTGGAGGTCCGCAATGGGGTGACATGGTTCAGGGTGCTGAAGTCGACTGTCAGCCTCCATGTTTTCCCATCAGCTTTCCGCAGGGGCCACACCGGTGCATTGCTGGTACTCTGCTGCTCCACCAGCACCCCCTGCTCCAGCAAGGTTTTGACTGTGTCCCACAAGCCAGCCTCAGCCTCAGCTGGGTACTGGAGCTGCGGCTGAGGAGGGGGATCTGGCCCCTTGATGGCCACGACAGCATCAATCTGCCCACAGTCCAGCTTGCTCCTTGCCCAGACCTGGGGGAACTGCTCTGTGACCCGTTTCACTCGGGGCTCCCACTCAGGGTGGACCAGGAGCTCAGGGGCTTTCACTGACATCACCCTGTGGCTTGCTGGGATGATGGGCACATCACTCTGAGGGCAGTGTAACAGTGCTTGGTTTGCCAGGTCCACCACCACCCCCATCTTTGTCAGTGCAGAGACGGCTAAAATTCCTGGCTTTCCCTTCATTTCAATTTTCCCAAATTTTTCAGACCCTTTGGCAGTCCCAATTTCAAAGGGTATGGGCCTTGTGAACGGCACGGATGACTTTTGCCCATTCGGCCCTGTCAATTCAATAATTTCACAGGTTTGGAAGAGCCCGGCTTCGCCAGGGACCATATTCAGAATTGAATAAGAGGCACCAGTATCAATTAACATAACTTGTCCAAGCACCCCTCCTCCAATAGTTATATCAACTATCAGACGCCCCCACAAATCGGTCTTAATCGGTGCCACAAAAAGGGGCGATGCGGGTGCCTGGCAGCCCTATTGCTGAACCTTAGACCCCGGGTCAATCGGGTTGGAGCTGCTGTGCTTTTTGGCCTCGTGCAGGGCCAGTTTTCGGAAGAGCTCCGCATCTGGCAAACCATCAATATCCTCCTGCTTCTCGTATTTTATCAAGCGTTTCCTCAGCTCAGCCCGCCAAGGGTTGGACTTCTGAAACCTCAGCCCTTGCTGGTTCTCCTTCCCTGAACCGCCCTTGCCATCGGGATCTTTTCGGTTGTCTCCTTGCATTTTTCTCATCCCTGCATTTTGGAAGGACATGGCCGAGGTTTTCCCTTTCTTCCCCCCCAGCATGTACCCTGGGAATGCCTGCTTTTGCAGCTCAAAATTCTGAGTCAGGATCTGCTCCAGCTCTGACAGTGGCTTTCTGGCTGCGTCCCCGCCAGCAATCACCCGCAACGGGGGGGTCAGCCCCACCACCAGCGGCTCCTTGAATTCGGGCCTGTCAAAATCGAGGGGGGAGTCCTTCGAGCCAGGCAGCCCAGCTATCTGGTAGAGCATCTTCTTACGGTTAACATAGGCATCTGGCCGCTCCTCGGGGTTTTGCTTCTCCTGGTGGAAAAGCACTAAGGGGTTGACCTCCGGGAAGAACACCTTCAGCACAGCCAACTGGACATCCCCAATGTCCTGGACATTGCCCATCTGCACATCCCCCGGCAGTGCTGCGAAATCGTCTGGTTTCATGCACTTTCTCACCACATCTATCAGGTCACTCACCAAGTTGCCGCTCTGGCACCTGGGCAGCCGCTGGGCCCTGGACAGCCAGTTAACCGCTGTCTCCTTCGTTAGCGGCCCCAGCATCTTCCCCACTGTCTTGAGCTGCTCAGGGGTAAACCAGAGCACAGCCCTGTTGGTATCTATGGCCTGGAGTGGGCTGTGGCCAGCCGGCTCATCAGGGGGGCTCTTTTTAATTTTGGAAGCTTCCACCTCCCCTCCTTGCATCTGGCACACCTCCTCCCGCAGAGGAGCATAGGGGGATGGCCTGGTGGGACCGTTGGCACCCCACACATCATCCTCATAGTCATAGTGGGGCGGGCGCGAGTCCGGAGAGTCCTCCCCCTCACCATTCCCGAACCGGCTCCTCTTGCCTTGCATGGCAGCCACGATGCCCCTCGACACCCCTAGCTCTGCCTGCAGCTCCTGAATCTTGGCATGGCACACTTTGTGATCGGGGCCAGTACCCCGGTCCCGCTGGACGTCCTGCAGGACCGCCCGCACCGCGCTCTGCGCATCGTGGGTCTCCCCGATCCACTTGCCAACCTCCTTCTCCAGCTCCTCTGTTTTCAGCTTCTCATAGCCCAGCTTGCTCTCCAGCCGGGTGATCTCCACCGCACTCCGCAGAGAGTCCCCGCACAAACCCTGCACCTCTGCCCGCAGGTTGTCCACCTGCATTTTGAGCTCGTCCTTGGACTGCTCCAACTTCTGCACATTCTCTAGAGCCTCCTTCAGCAATTTGGACAACTCCCTGCCCACCATCAACAAACCCTGCAAAGCCGCTCGCTTCTTGCACTTATTTGTGGGTTTGGGCTTTTTGGTCTCCTCTGACCAGCTCTCCCACTGCTGGCAGAGCTGCTGGTAAGCCTCCGGGCCTTGGAAAGCCCCTGGGGACCAAACTGGGGGAAGACACTTTTGGAGCACAAACTGCTCCAGCTTCCAATTGCTAACAAAGTCAGTCATCATTTTGAGGGGGATGAGATCCAAGACAGCTTCGTCTCAGGGCAAAGCTACCATAACACCAGCACCACCAACCCACCCACAGAGGAAGGCTGCGACCTTGCAATCTGCCCCTCCGAAAAGCCCACCTCGGGGGGATGCCGAGCCCGGTAGCAAGGGAAGGGGAAGGTGGGGACGAGTATCCACAGCCGAGCGGGCAGCCGCCGCGACCCGCCGGCTCCCGGGGAGGGGAAGGGGAAGGGGAGGGGGTGCAGGAACAGGCAAAGCGAAGCAGAGGTGTAGTAGGACCCCAATAATAAGATCTCACCAATCCTTGGCTGGATGTTCCGGCAGTCCCGTGGGCCTGGAGACAGGCGCTGCAGAGCTCCGGTGGATTCAACACCTTTCAGGACAAGGTGTTTGCGAGCCCTCATTCTGGTGGCTTTTTATAGCCATGGCAGGTCATTGTTTGGGGTTGATAATGCTCCTGCTTGCTCGCTCGGTGGCTTTTCTTCTTGCAGGTGCTCCATCCCTCCCCCCATCTTCCCAAGGACACTTCCCTTGTCTTTCCTTATCCTCTTTGGCACTGATTAAGGAGGTAGAAATCACATGTGAGCAGCTGCTCTGCCCCTTATCTATTTTGGGGGGCCCAGGATTAGTCACCACTCGCTCATGCTAACCTCTGCTTGCAGTAAGTGTCCTGAAGAGGGAGAGCTGGAGCCTGTCCCCTCAGCATCCATCCTCCCAAATCCCCCCAGTGCCCTCCTCACTTGCTGCACACCCCATTAGCACCCAGGTTTTAGGGGGAGATCACACATGGGGCTCACACCCGACACCTGTAATACACATGGTCCCCCCAAACCACCCCCCATGCACAGATCTGCTTGCTGGGAGAAACGAGATGACAGGAAAATTCACGTAATGCATCATTTAGATCCATTTTGGATTCTGGACTTCAAAAGCAGCATTTTTACATGCCACAAGCCAGCCCACTGCACACTGGCATGTACCTTGGGGCTACCCCACAATGTGTCAGGAGCCTCGACGGTGACATTGCATGAGCTGAATTACAGCTGTAAATCTACACCTGCAAAGGCAGATGGACCCCCCCCACCTCACTCTACAAACCACATCTTAACTCAGAGCTGTTTAGAATAGAAAATTCAATCCACTTGATTTTTTTTCTGCCGTTACACTAAGAAAAGGGTAGTACTCACCCTACTCAGTGAAAATGCTATCATTTTTATTGCTGCTTTTTCCTGTAATGAAATAGTTCAGAAGCTACACCCTTCCCTGGAATAAAATAATTTTTAAAAACTTAAAAAGCAAAAAAATGTTCACCTGTGGCTGCTTGAGTCCTGAGGAGTTTCCATCCAGCAGCCCATCATCCCCAACAGCCCCTTACTTGCAGGTCCTACCGTACTGGCCATGTTGGACCAGGATTGAGGCTGAACAGCCCTCCTCAATCCCAAAAGTCAGCCCTTGTATCCCAGAAAGCACAGAGGGAATGCTTTTTTCATTATTTTTATGGCAACTCTTCCTCCAACCTGGCATTTACAGCCCAGCTGCAATTCCCTCTGCTGTAACATGGGAGCTTAGCAGAGATGAAACCCCAGGACAGGTCCTGCTTCTGGTCTGTAAACCCCTTTTTCTTTTCTTCTACACTGATTCTTTGCTCCAACCCTCCTGAGAGCAAACACTTCACTGTAAGAAGCCTGTCATAGGGAGAAAATAAAAAGTTGAAAGCATAACAAAGCTGGTGAAAACGCAGGCAATTACTGTCAGTGTGGTGAGGGATATGGGATGTGGGCTGAGAAAAAGAGGAGGGGATGTTTCCCCCCAGGATGGATGAGGAGGAGACCCACAGGGAGAGCACTGGGATGGGGCAGGGAGGTGGCAGGACTGGGGACCAGGATGGTTGTCTTTCATTTCAGAAAAAGAATAAATTCCCCCTAGGAGTTGTGCAGCCAAATGACTTTAATACACTAAAATTCAGCGATCTCCCCCATCTTGCCCCGGCCGTGAGCCAAACACTAGTGGTGAAGAGCTGTTGTACCCCAGCAAGGTCAGCAACAAATCTTGCTTGTGGTAACAGATCAGTTCAGTCTGCACCCTTTTTTCCTCCCCTAGCTTCTTCCCAGGACAGCAACCCCAAACAATGTGGGGGTGATATAAACAGCAGCTGCTCGCCCTTATGTTCCCAGAGTGTTTTTATTTTTGTTGGTGATGGGCTGCCAGACAAAGGCATCCCACCGCCAAAATGTTTTCTCATCAGAGCACCATCCAGTCCTGAGAACAGCTTAGCCACTGGTAAACAGCTCAACTGCATATAAACAACAGCTTCAAAAAAAGTTAAAAATTAATCCCTGTTCCAGCACACACACCATGCTTTTATATTGCAAATATTCCTTTTTCTTTCCATAGGAGACATCCTGTAGGTAAAAGTGCTACAGGGAAACTTCTTTAAAGCTGCTATAATGTCCTGGGGGAATCTTCCGAAGCCAAAATATCTACTTAGGCAACCCAATATATCTGATTAGACAACCCAGTGTCACCAGCCTTGCAGCAGCATTTGGTGCCCTGTGTAACATGCCCCATGCCCAAGGTGGGAACCGTGACAAATGCCACTTCTGGGAGCACTTTGGTCCTGGCCAGGAGGCCAGAAGATGCTCCAGGTGACAGCAGCAGTGAGAAAATGGGGATGTAGCCATTGCAGCAGCCAGGGGCATCGGGCTCAGCTCACTGACTTCACCACGGGAGTAAAAGGAAAGTTCACTTGCAGTGACATTTCTAATATTAAGCAACAACTCTCCTCAAAAAAACCCCAAACAAACAAACCAAAAAAAACAAAAAAAACAAAAAAAAAAAACACCACCAAAAAACATGTGTCCACACCCAGTTCTGGAGAGTTCCCAATTTGAGAGTGAGGGGAAAGACAAGCAGGAAGCGAGGAGGGGAGAATCAAGGGCTGCTGCACCCTGTGCCAGGGGCTCAGCTCCCAAAACGAGCACTCAGAAGCACTGAAATGCATTTGAAAGCACTGAAATGCACGATTTGACTGCCAGCAAAGAGTTAAGGAGCAATTCAGCCAACCCTAAATTTTAGCAGCTGAGCCCTTCCTGGCAAGGCAAAGGTGGTTAGCAACTCACTTTGAGCAGGAAATCATTTTAAACAGAAAGAGGGAGGGGATGTGTTACAGCAGCATGGAAAAATCTGGTGCAGAACGGATCAAAAAATTGCTGTGAATGAAACACAAAATTTTACCTATTCATCCGCCAGCTCAAACCCCGGGGGAGGTTTCTTGGTGCCCCCATGTGAGACCCCCCCTGGGAAATCCCCTGTCACCAGAGAGCCAGCCCCAGGCAGATGCTGAGGCTTTATAAGGACCACGAGTATCTGCACAAGGAGGACAAAAAAGAAAATGGAACCCCTCTTGGCAGCCAAGGGGGCAGTGAGTAAATAAAAATGATAAACAACTTTTTTTTTTTCCCAAACAGAAATTTTGAAGGCTGCTGACACCAGTTCACCCCTCTAATTTCACATCATGTATTTCACTCTTTGAATCCTAAGCCCTGAGTTCTTCAAACCTCTCCCTCCTGAACACATTTCAAAGCCACTCTGATATTTTATCTATCATTTAAATATTTCTGTATATGAGCTGCACACTGTCACAGCTACCATAGCAGCGCCCATTGCAAGGTGGGGAGCCCCAGCAGAATTTCCTTATTTTTGCGGTTTTTTCAGCCACTAAATTTGTTTGAGGTTTCTCGCTCTTGTCTTCAAAGTTTTCTGTGATGCCTCATGCCTCTGCTTTATGGCCAGCTAGTTTGGTGTTCAGCATTTTCCAGGCCCAGAGAAAAACACCTCCTGCTAAAGATTCTGCTGAAGAAAACAACCCCACAGCTGAGATTGCATCTTGTCCTTATTTTGGATGCATTTTGATTTTGACAGAGGAGAATCCGGCCAAAATTCATCCTTTCCTGCTTTTATTTTTAATGCCAAGCTCTTCTGCTTGTCATTTTTTAATTGTACAGAGCTAGTTTAAAAGAAAAAGGAAAACCTAGGTGATGAAATATGAAGAAATCATAATTAAAAATCAATGAGGTTTGGGGTTTTTCTTCCTGAAAGGGGATTTTGGGGGGTCCTGTGCTTTGCTGGAGAAGCACGTGGGGCTTCCACCCTGATGCACACCTGGACTGGGGGCTCAGCGCAGAAGCAGCTCCGGGCGCTGCTGCGGCAGATGCTCTTTGGCCGCCGTCGGAGAAACATCTGCACCGAGACGGGGAAGAACCTCGAGGGGTGAAGCCAGACCTACCACCAAGAGACAACTGAGCGTGGAAAGGGGGAGCTGGTATAAAACCCCTCCGTCGTTGATTCCACCACCATGGCCTGGCTGTGGCTCCATCTCTGCATCTGCCTCCAGATCCCAGGTAAGAGGGACATGTCTTTTAGGGGTTAAGGGCACCTCAAATCATGCTGGAGCCTCTCCTCCACCCCGCTTCAGCATGTGGGATGTGTTGTACAGCATCTAGATGATGGAAGTTTAAATATACAGGCATAGTATAGATCTACAGGATGTTATTACATACCACCACATAGTTTTAGACAACGCCATTAAAAACATGATTTAGCTTTTGGTCAGCCCTGAAGTGGTCAGGCAGTTGGACTAGATGATCATTTTAGGTCCCTTTCAGCTGTAATTATTCTTCTATTCAATTCAATTCAATTCAATTCAATTCAATTCAATTCAATTCAATTCAATTCAATTCAATTCAATTCAATTCAATTCAATGCAATTCAATGCAATTCAATTATATTCATTCTGTTCTATTCTTCTATTCTATTCTATTCTATTCTATTCTATTCTATTCTATTCTATTCTATTCTATTCTATTCTATTCTATTCTATTCTATTCTATTCTATTCTATTCTATTCTATTCTATTCTATTTATAGTGCAATATATAATGATATAGACACCACAGAGTTTCTTTTTACTGCACCCTCTTAGTTCAGACAGACTGTGGGAAGCTGCTGATGGAAGATGCTGACGCCTGCGTAACACGAAAACAATAAGCATCCCATCAAATTTTCTTCTAAATCTATCCAAGAACTGAATATTTCCCAAGGGCCACATCTGGAATCACTGTGTTGTAAAACCATGCTGCCTTCTGCTGATTGCAAACAGGTTTCAGGATGTCTGGACTGAATATATACAACTGAAGTCACAGGAAAGCAGTAAAATTACACTTTACAGGACAAATAGTGCCATCAGTTCTTAGATGGAAAATGTTAAGAGCTTGAAACATCCATTAAATGTAAATATTAGGGTGGCAGCTCAAGCTGGTCCCCCCAGACCTTGCCCAGCCTGGGTCCACAGCTGCCCAGTATCCTAGCTAGAGGCTGTCAGGACTGCAGAGTGTTTTGTTCGTATCTACAGCCGCAGTGTAAGATGGCTGATCTGGCAAGAAGCAGTCCAAGGCACTTTATTGACACCTATATACAGCTAATAATATCCTATAGATCTGTACAGTGGGGTCCCTGCTGGGAAAACCCCAATAAATCAGAGTTTGCTCTGCATGCGCAAATGGAAAAGGGACTGGTTTTGAGCTGCTGCAGGCTGGTTTGGCCAAGCATGTGGAAACAAAACCATCCCACCCCAATTCCCTCTCATTCCCTGTGAGAATATACACTGGGAAAGGGAACAAGATGGTTTTGGAGGGGGGATGAACATGCAGCAGAGAATGAGCTTTTCTTCTTTAGCTCAGTCCCAGCTGACTCCACTGAAGCTTGACTACTGACCCAGAGCTGAGCTGAGCATTTTCCAGGATCCCTTCTCATCCCTTCCGATTCATGTAATCTCTCCAACAGCTCGAGGAAAAGGTTTTCATGGGGGGTTAAGTTTCCCAGCCCAGCAGATCAAGACCTCAGCTCAGCCAAGGAGACCCTGAAGCCACCGTGCCCCATGGCCACACACATTTCATCCCCCTAAAAAAACCACAGGTTTTTGCCAGAGCAAGGTTTGGGATGTTTGCACCCCAAAACCAGAAAATTATGTATTTTAATAATAAGGAGACATTTATAATGCTGCAGCTGCTGCGCTACACCTGATTTTTGGTACTGCAATCATAAGGCTGAAGCCTGCTCATCTCTGCAGCGTGCTGGCAGTGACGGGGTCATCAGAGAGGGGATGGAGGAAAGCTCTGGACCTGTGTCAGTCACCAGAGCTCTTTCCTCTGCCTGAGCCCATCAGAGACATGAGGGACATGGGAGGCAATGGGCCACAGGGATAGCTTCAGGTGTTGTGGTCATGCAAAACCATTCTCACATCACTGGGTCTGCAGGGCTGCATGAGGTTGTTTGCAACAACTGCTATAGGTAGCTTTGGGATTTTGAAGGAATAGGAACATTTTAAGGTTGAAAAAAAAAGCCAAGAAACGTATTTTGTCGAGCTTTTTTCACAGCTTTAAAACATGACTGGGAAGCAGATGGGGGAAGCAAGAGCATCCTTATCTTCAGGGGGCTGTTTTCCACTCAGTCTCGGAATATCTGCAGCTTTGTAGGACTGTTTGCTGAACAGAAAGGATCACAAGTCACCTGTTATCCTTTTCACAAGGACACATCCTCGCTCACACACAGACACCGCTCACATCTGTGTGGACCAAATGAGACTCAGATAATTTCCAAAAAAGATGCAAAACCCAAACACAGTGCTGTGATACGAAACCAAAGCTTCCAACCCCACCGCTACCCTTCACTCCCTCTCCTTCCACAGGTCTCAAAATTCACATAAAAAGAATGTCATCTGAAAAAAATAATATTAAACTAGCTTATTTTGAGATGTTTGGCACATTTTTTGGTCTTTTTCTGCATCTGAGGTGCCATCAGAATTTTATTGTTTTTGCTTCTGTTAAAATGAAAATCTGGCAAAAAAAAGAGGCCCCAAAAACATCTAATGAAAGCGAGGTGAAGCCTCTCTGAAAAATGAGCCAGAAAAGGCGGGGGGGGGTGGGGGAGGGTGGGGTGGAATCTGCAGGAGCAGGTGGGGCTGTCATTCCCTGCAAATACAGCCCCAGGGACACCCTCAAAATCATCCCTCCATCCCTGTCCTTGCCACTGAGCCTCCTCCCTAGATGACTGTTTACAGGGCAAACTCTACCTGTCTAACTAGACTTGACCAAAAAATGGCTGGGGAACCCAAAAAGGCCTCTGAGGGAATACAGGAGCAGCCTGATAAAGATCCTCCTGTTTCTCGCTCATGTGATCCCCTGGTCTGTGAATACTTGATCTTATTAAGACCACAAAGAAAGTCTGTACTTAGCATGCAAGAAAAATCATGAAAATAAAATAACTATGTATTCCTGTCTCTTTTTTCTTAGGTTTCTATACAAATCTACTTGTATTTCAGACTCCAGAGTATATTTTAGCCCAAACTAACAATAAAACAGAAATCTTCTGTCAGCTGAAGAGGGAGCATACAGGGGTGTACTGGTACCGCTGGAGCCAGGAGAGGCAAAATTTCGATTTCTTGATATTTTCCAATCCATCGGGCAAAGCCACGTATGGCCCAAACATCAGCCAGGACAAATTTAGTGTCCGTGGGGTGAGTTACCACACCTCCTACAGCCTGCACATCAGCCACCTCCACGCCTCGGACAACGGCACCTATTACTGCTCCATCTCCCAGTCCTCCCAGCTCCTCCTGGGCCGTGGGACACGGCTTGGTGTGGGTAAGCATCACCCCCGCGGCTCCAATACGTGCCACCAGCAGGCAGCTGTGATGAGGTCCCCTGGGTACTGGGTGATGTGTGTTGGTAGACCCTTCCCAATTTTGAGATGCAAGGTTGGGGCTCTGGGTTTTTTTCTGAAGAGACCTATGAGACCAGATAAAGCAAAAAAGGACAGAAAATAGCTAAATTTTAGGTCAGCTGCATGTGACAGTCCATTTGCCACCAGGAATTGTTTTGCTGTGGTCACGCCTTGAGCACCGGGTTGGTCCCAGAATCTTAGGATTTCCAAGGGAAGATGCTCAGCCCCTGCTATTGCCATGCCCTGCTCTTTTCTCATCCCCTGTATTACTTTGGATGAGAGGCTGGACGTGTGCCCTTGCTCAGCTCCCGGGTCCTCCTGCACCCCAGTTCTTCCTTACCCTTCCTTCAAGTGACAGAATCAGCATCAAGGCCAGAGGACATCACCCCTCACATCGCTGGGGTGGATCTGGCTGCAGGTTTTAAGCCCGTCCTTCACAGAAAGGATTTAAATGGGATTTATTCCTCAAAAGCCACAGCCCACTGTCACTGGGGAGCTCCAGCCAGAAGTGAGAGCTATCTGAGGGTAGCACTGGGGGAGTGTTGCTTTACAGACCCTGGGTCATACAGCAGCTCTTTTCAACCCATTTTCCCCTTGACCAATGAGCAGGAGGTCATGCATTAAAAATAACGTGTAATCAGTTAACGTGCAATTCTCTGCAGAATTTTAGGGAAACTAACTTATTTAACCAAGATGCAGCTACAGCTGCTGGCTCTAAAGCATTCCCAGTGTCCCAACCTGTCTGGATTTTTTGCAAATATGCCCTGCACCTTGAGCTGGCTGAGAAATCCCTTTTGGATTCTTGCCTGCTTAAAGAAAAGCTGGTTTAAGATAAAAGAGAACTAGTTTTTATCAACTGGGCACATACCTATGTGCAAAGCAAAGCAGGAAAACAGGGTTGAAATTCAGCCTGATCAAGGACATTCCAATTTAAGACTAAACACCAGCAGGTTCTCTGGGAGGACTCAGGCCTTGATGGATATTTTCTTTTTTTCCTTTAATACACATGATAAAACAAGTTGTCTTTAAGTTCCTTTTCTTTTAGTGCATTATAATGTAAGGGAGAAGTTGTCCGCATAAATCCCAGGCACACGTCTCATCAATCCACGTAAAAGAACGGTGGTTTCTGCAGATATTTCAGTCCAGGATAGAAGCAAAAAAAAAGTAGCTTTCAATCACCCAGAATTTTGAATAAGTGCAGTTTGAGCAGTCAGATGTACAAATATTTAATGACATTACTGGGATATTTACCTGACCAACTTTAAAGAGAGATAAATGTAATCCACTGTAATTCAGATACACCATAATAAATCCTGCCCTCATTTTATTAGAAAAAAAAAAAATCCAACTTTGAGCAAAGATTAAAGCAATCTGCATTTGGAAGAGATCCAGGGATCCTTTAAAACATCCCAATGCTACTGAAATCTCCTGTTACCTGTGATTTTGTGCAATGCTGGTGAGATGGTGCCTGGCAGTAAATGCAGTTCAAGAAAGTTTCCTTTTTCTCTGCCTTAGCCTTGTGCCCTTGTTTGCCTGCTATGTTGTTTTATTAACACTTACTCAGACTCTTGGTAACTTCTGCAGCCACCACAAGGTTCAGGTCAAGCTCTCAGCCCCTCTGGATAACCCAGCCCTTTGCAGGGGTTGCTGGATGGGGCAAGTTTCAAAAGAAAGAATTTCCAGCCCTTCTTGCCTGCTGTTTGAGATCTCCACTGCACTTGGCGCCACACTGACCATCCTCTTCCTCTCCTTATCCACCAGTTGATGTTTTGCCTCTGCCTCCAAAGACCACGCAGGCACCGCTCTCCAAAAAGCCCAGGCAGTGCATACCCAAAAGCAAAGCTGCTGACAAGAAAGGTACAGTGCTGGGTCGGCTCAGGCTGCCTTGCAAAAAGGAGTTTGCTGAGCTCCTGGGGGTCCCAAGGGTTCAGCGGCAGTTTGTCCTGGGTGGGGGCAACCACAATGTGACCTTGCAGGAGTGGGCATCTGAGTCCACCGAGACCCCCTGCTTTGGACAGAGCTGACCTCCGCCTTTAGGAGTGGTTCCCCAGGCTATACAAGGGTTTAGGGACCAGGAGGTATTTCAATTTATGGTATCATGACTCACAACTAAGTTCCCTGCAATGCCTTCGAGTGTAATGCATCCTCCAAGGTGATGGTCATGTTCTCCACCCCTCCTCTGAGGACTTGCCTTGCTTTCCTCCTTTTCCCACCCCACGCTGCATCCCCCAAAGCTGCCAGGGTAGGGTGATGCAGGGTGCTGAGCTGGGCAGAGGGTGCAGCTCCACACCATGTCCTCTCCTGCTCTCCAGGTGCCTGCAGCCCCCTGGTCTGGGTCCCGTTGGCCACCGGCGTCCTGATCCTCCTGCTGAGCCTGGCCCCCACCGCCCACCGCCTCCACCGTAAGCATCCTGCCAGTCCCGGGGGGTGGTGAGGGGTGTCGGGCCCTGGGACAGCCCCGGAGCAGGATAGGGAGCTGGGAGGGGGTCCCGGGGCTGACAGACACCGTCTCTCCCCAGGTCTGCGGCGGAGGCTGTGGCTTCGTGTCCACCGGCAGTAAATCCCACCATCTCCCCCCACCTCGGGCAGGCAGGGAGAAGCTACGGACCCTCCCCTGCACGGTGCTGAGCCCTACCAGGATGTGATCCAAGAAGGCGACAGACATGGGCTTGTGCCACAAGATAGACATTTATTTCCTGCAATGGACCAGAACTTGAACATTTTTTTTTTTTTGACACAACAGTTGGCAAAAGGACCAGGCTGGATTCTGCAGTGTGCTGAGCATTTCTCAAAGAGTACTGAGCAGGGCAAACTCCACAGCTGGCTCTGCACTGGGGGCACGGGGGCTGCTGTACTGAAGGGATTCAGATGGGCTGGAAAGATGCTGTGAGCTCCTTGCCTCTCCAGAGCAGCACAGAGGTGGTTTTGGTTTGCTCCTGCTAATGCTGGTTGATAAGACTTTGCTAACACTTTGCGAGCAAGCAGCAGACAGCCAAAGCAGGTCACATCTTGTAAAGGCCCTGTACAGGCACCTTCGCTGGAAATAGTGAATATATCATTCAGCTGTTTTGCCCTGCAGGCTGGTATGTTGTGGCTGCGCTCGGTGAGGGACGTGGCTGTGTGGCAAGTAAGGAGCCACGGCCTCTGTCCGAGCAAGAGTTGAAGAAGAAGAACAGCTCCTGGGGGAGCAGGTCTGGAAGGGCCTCTTCTCCCACAGCAGATTGCAAACGGCCCAGAGCGGGAGAGAAAAGCCAGACAAACCCAAGGCCAAATACCTGGCGCAGCCTGAAGGCCAAGGCTGCTTTTGAGAGGAAACAGAGGCGGGCGGCAGCTGGCCCTGAGCCCGAGCGAGGGCCGTGTGTGCCGAGACCTGAGCAACACCAGAGTGTGCTGAGCCCCGAGCGAAGCTCGTCTGGTCTGAGCCCTGAGTGATGCCTGTGTGTGCTGAGCCCCCAGCGAGGCCAGAAGCAGGGTAGATCTCCCCGGTATGTTAACAAGGCTCAGCCGCTGCCCGGGGGGCGGCAAGGCTGAGGTGGGGCTGGAAATTTAGGGAAGGATGGTCCAGACACCTCCTGTCCCCAGCATGGGTGGGAAGGCCAGCAGCTATTTTTACTGCTGGGGAAGGAGCGGGGATCTCCTGTCCTGCACGCTGTGTGTGCGTCCTTACACACACACAGGCATGGCAAGAATTCATGCCGGTGCAAAGCATCGCAGCGGCACAGCAGCATCCCTCCAGCCTTGCCCTCCCTGCCCTCCCAGCCACAGGGAGCTGCCGCTCTCCACATTAATATTGTTTTTTCCAGAGGACTTGGTCTCAAACCTGGCCATTGGTCCTCCTTCCGATGGATATTTCCCTTAAATGATGCAGTAATAAAGCCAGCGGTGGGCCACGCTGAGCCAGTTTTCCCAGGCTGCAGGGGACACTGACCCCAGACCCCATCCCACCAGGGATGCTGCAGGGAGGGGTCCCCGAGCATCTCTGCTTCCAACACAGCATAGCAGCAGCATATTTTAGCCTCTGTGAAAGCTCAAATGAACTAAACCCACCACTTTTCTACTCTGAAAGCACTCAGTGTGCAGAGCTTCGCCCTAGGAGCAGATGATTTTTATTTTTAACATGAAAGCAATAAGGCAACCCCTTTAAAACTTCCCATGGGGAAAGGTTTAGTTTTTCAAAAACAGGGGGCTTCCCTCTGCCTGCAGCTGCTTTTGAAATCCCAGCTCCCTTTCCCATGCTTGAGGCATCCTAACCTGAATGTCCATCCCTCCTGCCACTCTCCCACCTCTCACCCAGCACAGAAAACACATCCCATGGCCAAGCAGCCAGCGCCGGGTCTGGGCAGCATCAGTCAGGCTGCGACAGCCCAGGGAAGGTGAGCAGCCTCAGGGATAAGCCTGCTCCCTCCACTCCCCCTCCCTCCATTCCCCCTCCCTTCATTCCCCAGTTTGGCTTTGTTGTTCCTCTGTAAAGTGAAAAACAAAACAAAACAAACAAACAAAACCAAAAAAACCCCCAAACCAAAAACCCAACCTCACCATCATCTGCATGCGATGAAAACAGAAGAGTACAACAACAGTGCAAGATGCTGCGTGTCCTTTTGAAACATGGGTTTGGGCAGTTTACCAATAGAAACAATGGAAAAAAATGTAGTCATTCCTATAATTATCAATAGGGTGTTTTAAGACAGTAAACCTCAGAGAGATTTTTTAACAGGTTTCACAACTGTGAGGGTTGGTAGGAAAAATATCACCTCCCCTTTCATAGACTTTTTTCCTAGGGTGTATATAAGAAAGAAACAGAAACACTAATAAAAAGATGCTTTTATGTCTGAGAAAATTATCCTGGTCCCCTGATGTCTGCAACTTCTTTGGGTTTTCTCTCTTACCTCATTGCTGTGCTGAGGGCATGATGATGACACCAGCCAAGGGTGAGGGACATCGTGCTGTGGCACGTGGGGGAAAAGGGATGCTTCCACCATGAAAACTAATGGGAAAATGTTTCTGTGCATCTCTACTAATGGCATAATGTCAGGATACATGGAGGGAGAGATACGGGTAAGGGGATTGCTCGTCACAGTGTCCTGGCAAATGACAGCTTCTAATTTATTATATTTATTTATATTTTCTTCTGAGAACGGACCAGCCTTCTCTTGTCTCCCACTGTCACCCTCCTCCCCACAGCAAGGAACATCCATACCTAAAAGAGAAAATAATGGAATTTTAAATATAACCCCAAAACCTCATGTCAGTGGTAAATAAATGATGTCATCTTAAATGACAAAAGGAGATACCACAAAAAATGGGACAAAGACAAAAGGCTTTTAAATAGGACAAGGTGTTTTTTGCAGATCTATGGGTTTAAGTACAAAACATTATCTATGTTGTGCCCACTCACATAAATTATTGGGCAAGGTATTGTAAAAGAGGCCAAAAATTACATGTTGCAATAATCTATTTCTATTATTATTTTATAGTCTATATTCTATATATGTTCTATGATGATCTATATATATAAAAAAATACTACACATTCTTTCAATAAACAGTGCATGCATATCTTGAAAGCATTAAAATATTCAAAAGACAGAGAGCAGAGCAGAAATACAGGATTTCAGGCATTACAGTCTTCATGGTTTTTGTAAAACTTCTGTAAATGGATTTAAAAAAAAAAGTCAGTCTTTCTAGAATATCTCAGTTGCTGATCTAGTATTGGCAGTGCTCAATTTTCCTTTATTCTCTTAAACTGCTCAGTCATTTTCTATGTGGCTGGTCTGTGTTTTTATAATACAAACAAGTAAATCAAATCAGGTGCAGTTGAAAACATTCCACTGAAAACAAGGTAGTGACATGAGAGCAAAAGTTGTATCTGATTTTAAAGTTCCTAAATATATAAAAAAGTAATTTTGCAGAGTCATAAACAAAACTGAGTTGGGCACATTAACAGAGAAAGGGTGAACAACATCTCTGTTAAATGATTAAACTTGAAATCCTTGCAAAAGAAAGGGATATACATACATCCATGTGTGCTGTTTAAATTCCTTCCAATTTATCCTTGATCAGAGCGGGTCTGTGCACTGTAGATGTTTATTAAATATATCCTCCTGGCAGAAAAAATTAATTCACAGCAGGACTTCTAAGCATCCAGACTAGACTTGTTAAATAGGAAATTTCTAAATGTATTTTTCTGCCACTGTCTAAAACGAGATACATCCCAGCAGCTGAAAAAAAAAAAAAAAATCCCAATTTTTAATTGTTTCTCCTGAACCTCGTTAGTGCACAGACACAGCACTGCACACACATGCCCAAGCCAGGGCACAGGCAATACTCTTCTCCGTCTTTCCAAAGCATCCAAGGCACAAAACCCTCTTACATCCACAGCACACACCAGCTCACCTGGCTACTCTGCTATGTCATATATCAAACAAATTACATTAACCTTAAATATAGAAATATTGTATCGTATCTACTGACAATTACTTAGTTATTTATACTAACAATTTTCTAACTATATATTATTATATATAGTTAAATTATATTAACATATTACAGTTAAATATAAAATACATAATCAGTTCATTTATATATTATATTTAAATATATTCTATATAACCATATTATAGGTATTAATTTTAGACACGTGTTATTTTTTATATATATATTGACAGTTATATAGATTGACAGATACCTATAGAAAAAGAAAACTGGTGCTCAAAAAACTACTTTCAGGCAACAGAAGTACTTCTTGCCCATATTTCCCTGGACTTCATCACATTTAATTCAATAAACCAGTAATAGCAATATATTAAATTTCTGGTTTATATAAACCAGAAAATGTTTATTTAATATTATTATAATCTTTATTTAATATCATTTCTGGATATTAAATTAAATATTTTTTACTGAAATAACCAATATTTGTATATAATTCCACAGAAGCTGCAGATCTCACCCGGAGGGCACAAAATATAGATATACTGATAGACACAAATATTTCTTATTCCAGCATTCAATTAATTGGAACACATATCAGACCAAGTTAAAAATAAATCTGTACAAGCTATGTATTTCGCTTCTCTACCACATTGCTACAGGAAAGATTACTTTGAGTTTATACACCAGTGGTCTTTCACATGAAACAAAACTCTCCCAGTGCTTTAAATATTTGCAACAGGACAGGAGGTTTCATAATCCTCCCCCAGCCATTCATTTTTTCTGCTAAAGTTCGACTTCTCATTTAGCCTTTAAGATATACAAGTGTATGGAAGGGGAGCTGCGTCACACTTTTAAGCAGGAGAATATCATTATTACTCTCTGCGTTTTCTGATCTAGTTAATAAATTACAACCAGATGAGAAACACTCAAAACAATCCCAGTGATGGCATCAGCGCAGAATCTTTTCTCTGCCGGGTACAACATACCTATGTGCTGTTGCAACAGGGATCTCACACAACCAACTTATTTAGTTCATTTAACATAAAAACCTAAAACCCCCTGAGATGAGTCACTTACAGAAAGCAGCTGGCAGTCAATATGAAAAGGAAACCTGCTCAAATGGCGATGCCCTCTCCATTCTCTCCAAAAAGCTCCTCGGAGGG